AAAAAGTTTTGTTTCAAAAATTTTCTGCAAACTTCTGAAGTCTTAGAGTTTACTAGTTGTTGTCGTTGTTGACTACTACGAACTACTAACTAACCTGGCTTAGACAGTTCTAATGTCAACTGTCGACTAATTGACATAGAATGGTAAAAAGATAAGAAACTGCAGTGGAATAGTGAACAAAAAAAAAAAAAAAATGCTAAATCTTTTTTTTTGTCATTTACATTACCAAATCACTGATACATATGTTTTTATGTTTATTTATTATTTGTTTATCAATCTCATCACCAAAAACAACAACAACAACAAAAAAAAAAACCAACAGAACAGAAATAAACAGGAAACAAAAAAAAATATATATATATATAAATGACAGATTGACAATTTTAGCACATACTTTTTATGACAATTCTTCACTTTTTTTTTTTTTTTTTGACTTTATTCTTTACCAATTATCAGTATTCATCAGCAAATTTTTGGTCAACAAATTCTTGTCAGGCTGAATACGGATATGTATGTTATATTTCTGCTTTTAATTTTGCTCCTCGATTGATTAGACAGTTCTTAGTTTTCTTTCTTCTGCTGCGAACTGATATTATTAGCATCAGATTTTTGATGAATACATCAACAATCATTTTTTTCTGAACTCATCCAGAAAACAGTGATAAGCGACAGAAGATTGAGGAATCACGATCAACAGTTCCAATTTATACTATAAGTGTTACACCGGAAAAACAGTTCTGTGGATCACTTTGACGACGAAAAAGTAAACTCTAAAGCTCAGGATAAATTAGCATAAACAGAGAAGAGTAGTTGGTTTTAAATAAAGAAGAGGTATTCCTTCTCCTTTTTCCGCTCTTCTCCTCTTTCCTCTTCTCATCCACTACTTCAGCTTCTTCTACCGTTCACCATCTAACCTATTACTACATACAGTTTAAAATCTGTTTAAATTTTTCATTTGTTACAGCGTCCATTTGTCCTTCTTAATTTCTGTTTTTCGTTTTTTTTTTTTCCTGCGTTATTTCTTTCGTTATCAATTTTTTTTTTTAGCAAAACAATTTTTTTTTTAATTGCTTTTTCAAACTGTCATCAAAGAATCGCTAAAATTTTATCATTTTGAACGGTTATAATTTGCTTACTTTTCTGACTTATTCTGTGCATTCTCCTCACTATAATTTTTTTCTTTCTTTTTTTTTTTTTTTTGCAACAGCAGTAGCGTAATTTTTATTGAAATAAACTGTTGAAGTGTTATCAAACAAAAAGAAAGAAAGAAAAAAAAAGCATTTAGATCAATCCTTTAATTTTATTGAAATTGTAGTTGGGAGGGAAAAAAAAACCTTTCATTTTTTCCCAAATTTTTTTGTTGGCTAAAGAAGATAGGAGGAAAAAATTTGTGAGCAAATGAATGAATGAACAAACAAAGAAGTGAAGAAATAAGGGAATAAGTAAATCACTAACCTGCTTCGCATAGATGGCGATAATAAAACAGTAAGATTAATGATATTGCCAACAATTCCAAAGATGATGAAAATAGGGACAATATAACTAAAGATAATCTGCTCAAGTTTTAATCCCGACATTGTCATTTGTCGGCTGTTTAGACATTTCTCCTCCATAATTCGTTATGTCTTCAAAATATTTCTGCAAGAAAAAAAAAAGAAAATAAATTTGCTGCACCAACTAATCACTTATTTTAAATTTATTGGCAAGGTATAAAAGCTGAAAAAAAAAAAAAAAAAAAAAAAAAAAAAA